AGCCTGTTTTCCCCCCCCCCCCCCCCCCCCCCCCTCCAAACTTTTAAATTCATTGTACATAGTGAAAGAATTGTCTGTGAGCCCCCTTGACCATTGACTGTGTCCCGTGCTCGGCTCCTACCTAAATATTCCTAGAAACGTCACTGATTTTTAGATAGGAACTTCATAATTTAGTCAAGATTTTTAGATTTATCGGAATCTGAATGGAAAGACAAATGTAGAAAAAAACCATATTTGGTAAACATATTTAGGTTCTCGGGGATATTTTTTATCAATTATTTCTTGACCAAACCTATGAACATCGATCTTTTCCAGCTGGTTTGACCAGAATAATGAGGACAGTTGACTTATTCAGGACCATCAATCTTTTACATGCTGACTGAGATAAGAACCCACGCACACCTGACGTTACAAAGAAATTGGCGTCAAAAATATATGGTGCAACTATAAACTTCCTAGAAAAACATATATAACCCAGAAAATCTCTTTCCAATCCTTTCATACATGCTTTCTTCACCTAGCCTTGATAAATATAGAGTTATCATTAGTTTTATAACTGGAGAAGCTAGACATGTATGATTGGCTATTACCTTGATAGAGTTTGTAAGATAATATTAGTTTAATTACAGAAGAAGCGAGATATATACATGGCCTTGAAGTAGTTTTAAACTTAATATAAGCTTATTTCCAACAGCAAGACTTGTTCCTGGCCTTGATAGAGTATTTAATTAATAAGAGATTAATTTAGAAAAGATCCCGTCCAGCTGACACCTGCTTCAGATATAAAGTCATCAAGTCATATCATCGGGAAGTGAGGAGTTAAATTACGAATCTTGGGAATTATTTATCTGAAATATCTCATTAAATAGACCAAAATTACAATAATTTCTAGGTGATATAAACAGTTCTTAATTGAATACGTCTAACAATTTGAAAAAGTCATTTTTGATTTCAGCTGCATCAGCTGGTAAAGGTGGTATATAGATTACTAAATTCCTTTGAATTACAATCTGACAAAGTATTCTAGAATCCTGTTTTACTTAGATTTACTAACTTAATGAAATCTTTATGAAGCAGGGGACAGGTCGGTTTCACTACTTATAATAAATAATTTATTTATACATTCAAGAAAGATCCTCAATATATATATATATATATAACAGAAAAAGAATAAGCATAGTTTTTTTGTTAAGTTAAGTAAATAGAAACATTAGATGGATTACTAATAGAACAGAATCATAGGCAAAATATACAGATATATATGATGATAATATAAAATATATACAGTCTACTATATTAATATGTCCTTAAAGCTAAAATGCTTATCAAGAACCATAAATAAAATAAGGCAAAAAAGCACTGTCTAATATACATAGAGAGACAGATCTCTTTAGATGAGTCTAAAGATAAATATAAAAAAAAGAAAAATTTCTCAAAGGAAGAAAGTAATTATCAGCACTAATATTTTGTTAAAGCTACCATGCTCATTTAGAAGAAATATATTGATATATGGATATTTAAAGCTACCATGAAGATATTACATGCTTCTCATTTGAACCCCTTCTTTTTTTTTGGAATAAGCTAATCAGATATATTTATAGAATAAATGCTATTCCATAAATTATCTAAAGATGTAAAGAAATCTTAAAAGTTCATGACAGCTTTAAACTATTTTCAATCTTACCAACAGGTTTAGGAGAAGATTTATCAAGTTTCTCAGAATAAATTTTATTTCCTTTATCTCCTGTAGGATGGTCTTTTTTAGGGCTGATTTTACTTGGTTTCACTTTATAAATGAAGGAATAAAATAATCATAAAAGGGAGATAATCCTGATTTAACCTGGATTAGCTTGAAGTCTCCAGTTCATAACAAAAGCAGATGTGATGAAAATTGTTCTGATAGAAGTAGTTAATCCTCTTATAGAGCTATTTGGATAAATTGCACCACTGTCCTGTCAATACTTTGATAAAGGTATAAGGTATATGATATTTAATATAATAATTACCTGGTTTTCTATCTGAAGGTACACCAGCCTCTACTGTTGTATTTTCTACTTTACCAAATGATTCTTCTACAACTGGAGCTACAATATATCATTTACAATAATAAACTCTATATTCACCAATGAATATATAAAATATTTCTGAGAACAGGCATGATATTAGAGTGTGAAAAAAGAGCAGAAGAAGAGGAACTTACCAGGTTGTGTATTGGAATGTGATGAAGACGCAGAAGAAGAGGAACTTACCAGGTTGTGTATTGGTATGTGATGAAGACGCAGAAGAAGAGGAACTTACCAGGTTGTGTATTGGTATGTGATGAAGACGCAGAAGAAGAGGAACTTACCAGGTTGTGTATTGGAATGTGATGAAGACACAGAAGAAGATGAACTTATGTGATGAAGACGCAGAAGAAGAGGAACTTACCAGGTTGTGTATTGGAATGTGATGAAGACGCAGAAGAAGAGGAACTTACCAGGTTGTGTATTGGAATGTGATGAAGACGCAGAAGAAGAGGAACTTACCAGGTTGTGTATTGGAATGTGATGAAGACGCAGAAGAAGAGGAACTTACCAGGTTGTGTATTGGAATGTGATGAAGACACAGAAGAAGAGGAACTTACCAGGTTGTGTATTGGAATGTGATGAAGACACAGAAGAAGAGGAACTTACCAGGTTGGACGCAGAAGAAGATGAACTTACCAGGTTGTGTATTGGTATGTGATGAAGACGCAGAAGAAGGGGAACTTACCAGGTTGTGTATTGGAATGTGATGAAGACGCAGAAGAAGAGGAACTTACCAGATTGTGTATTGGTATGTGATGAAGACGCAGAAGAAGAGGAACTTACCAGGTTGTGTATTGGAATGTGATGAAGACGCAGAAGAAGGGGAACTTACCAGGTTGTGTATTGGAATGTGATGAAGATGCAGAAGAAGAGGAACTTACCAGGTTGTGTATTGGAATGTGATGAAGACGCAGAAGAAGAGGAACTTACCAGGTTGTGTATTGGAATGTGATGAAGACGCAGAAGAAGAGGAACTTACCAGGTTGTGTATTGGAATGTGATGAAGACGCAGAAGAAGATAAACCTACTAGGTTGTGTATTGGTATGTGATGAAGACGCAGAAGAAGAGGAACTTACCAGGTTGTGTATTGGAATGTGATGAAGACGCAGAAGAAGAGGAACTTACCAGGTTGTATATTGGAAAGTGATGAAGACACAGAAGAAGATGAACTTACCAGGTTGTGTATTGGAATGTGATGAAGACGCAGAAGAAGATGAACTTACCAGGTTGTGTATTGGAATGTGATGAAGACGCAGAAGAAGATGAACTTACCAGGTTGTGTATTGGAATGTGATGAAGACGCAGAAGAAGAGGAACTTACCAGGTTGTGTATTGGAATGTGATGAAGACGCAGAAGAAGGGGAACTTACCAGGTTGTGTATTGGAATGTGATGAAGACGCAGAAGAAGAGGAACTTACCAGATTGTGTATTGGAATGTGATGAAGACGCAGAAGAAGATGAACTTACCAGATTGTGTATTGGAATGTGATGAAGACACAGAAGAAGAGGAACTTACCAGGTTGTGTATTGGAATGTGATGAAGACGCAGAAGAGGAGGAACTTACCAGGTTGTGTATTGGTATGTGATGAAGACCCAGAAGAGGAGGAACTTACCAGATTGTGTATTGGAATGTGATGAAGACACAGAAGAAGAGGAACTTACCAGATTGTGTATTGGAATGTGATGAAGACGCAGAAGAAGAGGAACTTACCAGGTTGTGTATTGGAATGTGATGAAAAATATGAAGAAGAGGAACTTACAGATTGTGTATTGAATTGTCATGAAAGAGATGAAGAAGAGGAACATACAAGTTTGTGAATTGAAATATGATCAAGAAGATGAAGAAGATTAACTTACCAGGTTGTGTGTTGGAATGTGACGAGGAGGCAGGAGAGGAAGGAGGTGGTGGTTGAGAATGAACTGCTGTGGATGTTTCTGGTTTACTGATGCTTTCTTCTACTACAGCTTTATCTACAATGGAAATACCAAAATAACTTGACATTTTTCTTGTATAAAATACTCTAAAAGGGTATTGTTGTTTTATACTGTGTCATATTTAAGTAAGGGAAGAATTAATATCAATCATATCAATAGGTAACTGAGAGGAAGAAATTTTTGTGAAAACAGTTTCATTTAAACTTACAACTGAATGTAGGGTTGAAGCCACTCTATAAATATTTCCCTTGTTGCTTATAAAAATCTAATGATAAGAAGTAATCAAAATTGAATGACATTTTAAATTGTGACATAAATATTTTTCCAAAATAGTAAATCAGCACATACTCCCACTGGAGATGAAAATTAAAGACAATGCCAGACATCGGATCAAAAGCAATTTCGTACTGCAACCTTAAAAAAAAAAACCAAACACTGATTGTACTACATAACAGGCCTACCTTTAGAATGTGCTAAATCTGTTTGATCTAATTTTACACTATAAATTCTGTTCCCCTTATCACCAGTGGGGAAGCCATGTTCTGTTTCTATAGGAACAGGAGCTGAAATGAAAATATAGTTTTATAAAAATTTCTGATTTAGATCATCAATTATTGCCCAATCTAGACTCCATGAGTTGTCTTCACTTGTCTTTATTTGTTGTACACATCAAATCGTAGCTAATTAAAACAAGCATTATAAAACGTTCTTCAACCATTGGTGAAAACAGAACACCTTCTAATTCAGTCAAACACATATAACCACGAGATTGGTATAAAGCAGAAAGTTTCTCAAGTAAGAAGTGTGGTCAGAATATATATTCTAAGCACATTAAGATCAACATAATTTCAATTACAGTATAACATGTTCATCAATATCAACCATTCAACATGTTTGAAACTACAAATTTCTACCCTGTTTCACTTTAGTAGATAAACCTCATAAGGACTGAGGTAATAAATATTCATGATTTTCAAAGCCACCAATCAAAACAATTTTACATACAGTTCTAATTTGTATAACAGTAATAAGGGATATTTTCTTCAAATTTCTTACTGTTAATCAAAAACAGATATTTCTACAACTAAATACCTTAAATTATTATAGAAAGTTATTATATAAGATAGACAAAGAACACTTCCATTGTCCTTAGTTCAGAGAATTTTAATTTTCTAAGGATTCAAATGAGAATTGTATACTTTTTAGAGGCTTGTACTTGCATCATTCTGCCTTCCAGAATGACTTGACCAGATTGTGATCACTTGACTCGAATTTGTAACAATTTGGTCAAGTACAGTATTCGTGGAAACAGTGTAAGGAAAAATGTATTAGAACTACAGACTTTAAGAAGCTATAGCTCATTAGAATCTCTAGAGTTAAGCAGTATTATCGAGAATTATGTAAGATATATAAATATGTAAGATAGACATGTATATAGATAAATAATAAATAATATTTATATAGAAAGATGACAGAAAAGACTGTTGATTACAAAGTATCACATACAAAAAGCAAGAATTGTTAATACTATGATGCAACTTTGATTTGTCAACTTGGTATTCCTTTCAGAGAGTTCAAATAACTTATAATAAAACAATCTATATAAAACAATATCAAAAGAGTATGAGAATTTTATGTTAATAGAGTAATATTATATATTCATATTTCAAGCATTAGTTTCTATACTCTAGTCACTGTCATCTGTAAACAGGACTGTTGTTTCAACTGTATTTACCAATCATGTTTGACTTGAGCTCCAAAATCTCTAATTTGATATCAAAAGGCTTGTTCTTGTTTTCAGCTTTCATAGAGACAAATATGGGAACTGATGTATAACACTCACATATTTTGAAACATGGGATCCTCATAGCTCAAGTAGGCCAAAATCTTATCATTTTTTTTTGGTAGCTGAAAGCAAGCTATCAAAGATGTCATTTCATTGAGTAAATATTTGAAACAGCAGCTCTGTCTATAAATCTACAGTGTATTTCAATCTTACCAACAGGTTTAGGAGAAGATTTATCAAGTTTCTCAGAATATATTCTATTCCCTTTATCTCCTGTAGGATGATCTTTTTTAGGACTGATTTTACCTGGTTTCACTTCATAAAAAGATTAAAAAAATCATAATGTCTTAAATAGGTATAACAATAGTAATATAATAATCAAATCTTTATTAAAGGAATACAGAAAAAGTTTTAACGTGTTTATAGTTTTATATCTAGACTAGATGATAATGTCATTATATCAAATTTTCCATTTGACTTGAACATCATTTGATGTATGAAATGAACATAACAATCAAAAATCTAAACATTGACTCAGAATTCAGCTTACTTACAGTAGAATCATAATACTATCGAACTATCTTAAGATCAATCCTACTTTATGGTTATCTTTATTGCGAAGATCCAAAAATACAAATTGTAGATATTTTATGATTTAATAAAGTATTTTGAGTTATATAATCTAGTACCTGGTTTAGATGGAGGTTTACCAGCCTCTAATGATGTGGATTCTGTTTTACCAAAACTTTCTTCTACAACTGATTAATTAAACAAAATAAAATAACGCGTTCAGTCTGTAGAAGGGACATTATATTATCATGTAGGCTAAATATAATATATGAAAATTATCCTTAATGTTTTGGTGTTATGACCACACTACCCAAATATGAAAAGAAGCTGATAAATCTATTGAACAATAATCATGTATAGGGCTGAATGAAAAATACATGTAGATTTATTAAGCAACAATTTTACAATCTTTTCAACACTAAAATATGAGATCTATACAGAAACTCTCAAGTAACAACAAACGTTGGGTTCTGTTTTAATATCTGATAGTTAAAAAGGTTCTGGTTGAAAATGTCTACACTGCTTAATAAAGAATTTATAGTGACTATTACACACCTGGATGATTGTGACTACTAGGTGCAGAATGAACTGTTTTATTTTCTGTTTTACCCATTGACTCTTCAACTATTGGTGTTCCTAATAAAATTATAACACAATTCATGATAATAAAATCATGCTAAATGTTAAAGTTTGGATGAAAATATGTGAAAAGTTGAGTTATCAAATTTAATCTATTAATTCTTTATGATATATGATAACACTGTCTGCATTAGCATTTTAAATTATGAGTTTAAAATGATAGAAATAGTATATTTGTTGGGACATGTGAAACATTTAATGAATTAAGAAATAAAATATGTATTACATTATATACCTGTCTGACACAAAAAAAAAAAATATTTACTGCACTTTTTTGTCTAACTATAATAATACATTTCTGTTCTATAATATTATTCTATACCTTGTGATTGAAGTTTATCTAATTTCTCACTGTAAATTCTGTTTCCCTTATCACCAGTAGGGAAGCCATGTTCTGTTTTTATTGGTACTGGGGCTGAATTTTTAGTTGAAAACTTATTAAAATTAATCAGAGAATACATGTGAAATATTTAATTTTTGTATGTATATCATTTGTTTTACAAATATCACTTCCAAATGAGAAAATATTGTAAGCCTAATATCTAATATCATCTATCAAGATATCTAATACCTTAATTAGCTCTGAAGATTATAATTAAACAGAAACAAGTTGGAAACAAACTTATCGTGTCAATCTGATTAAAATCACAATCTGGATATTTTGTTTCCTGTTTTTTCTCCAGGTGACTACACTTGCCATCCATGATCTGACAAAATTTGTATGTATCTCCTGTTTTAGGTCATTTATTAAACAACTAATCAAATGCTTCATACAATAAGAAAATATATCTACAACTAAAACTACAGCTATTTATATTTATATCTCTTACCAACAGGTTTAGGAGAAGATTTATCAAGTTTCTCAGAATATATTCTATTCCCTTTATCTCCTGTAGGATGATCTTTTTTAGGGCTGATTTTACCTGGTTTCACTTAATAAATAAAGAAATTATAATCTTAATTGTCTTAAATAGGTATAACATTGGGCATGATATTAAACAATTGAATCTTTAATGTTCTAGCTATCACAGCTTTCATCTAGACCAGATTATAGTCTTATTATATCAAATTCACCATTTAGCTGGAACATTATTTGATTTAGGGCTTCTGTGATATTAAAAGAGATAAACTATTCCTGTTAGGGCTCTGATGGTTTTTCAGACCAATAGTACTTTATCATTATCTTAATAACAAGGTTCTTAGCTCCAAGATCCAAAAATACAAATTGAAGATATATTATGATTTAATAAAGTATTTTGGATTATAAAATCTAGTACCTGGTTTAGATGGAGGTTTACCAGCCTCTAATGATGTGGATTCTGTTTTACCAAAACTTTCCTCTACAACTGATTAATTAAACAAAATATAGGTAATATATTAACAGAGCATAGTATAATCATGTACATCATATAAATATTAGAAGTTTCTTGGTTTCAGCTTCATGACAATATCTTATATTAAGTAGCTGATAAGTCTAATGAACTCAAATCTGGGCTGATTGAAACACACTACTCTGAACAATTGATCTTGAATATTGCCGTGAGTGAAACAAACTCTAGGTTTTGTTTTAATATTTCCATGTTAAAATATTTAATAATTACTATAAAAGTTCTGGTTGAATAAGTCTACAATAAATATCAGAAACTTATACAGAGACTATTACAGACCTGGATGTTTGTGACTACTTGGTGCAGAATGAACTGTTTTATTATCTGTTTTACCCAATGATTCTTCTACTATTGGTGTTGCTAATAAAATTATAATACAATTCATGATAATATTTTAAGTTTGGTTAGAAATATATGAAAAGTTAAGTTAATAAAGAAAATATAATATCCATTTATTTCAGGATTCTTGGATTCTTAAGGATTTGGTAAAACTGTCTGTATGAGCATTTGAAACATTTAATGAATTAAGAAATAGTCTATTATTTAGAACTTTCTATCTGCCTTATAAAAACAATAAAAAAACTATTCATCTAACAATGATTAATACAGAACCCCTAAGGCGCAATTTTCCATACTTTTATAAAATATTTCATTTTTACGAAATAATTAATTTGTTTAAATGAAATAAGTTATTCGATTAAAGTAGGGAAAATTGCGTCTAGATTATCTTGTATATGCACTTTTTTTTAACTATAATAATTCATTTCTGTTCTATAATAATATTCTATACCTTGTGATTGAAGAGTATCTAATTTCTCACTGTAAATTCTGTTTCCCTTATCACCAGTAGGGAAGCCATGTTCTGTTTTTATTGGTACTGGGGCTAGATTATTATTCAAAATAATTATTATTATCAAAACTTAATCAAAGAGTACATGTGAAATATTTATCTACGTATCTACATCTATTGATATGAAAATAGCTCAAAGTAATTAGGATCTATTAAGACATCAAATGGGTTTAATAGTTCTGAAACTGTCATATTACGACAACACCCAAATTTGAAAAACTTAATAACGACCATCTGATCAAAATGCAGCTCTAGATTATTCGTTTCCTGTTTTTCAATCAGTGATCTGACAAAATATTTATGCATCTCCTGTTCTGGGTCATTTAATATACAACCAATCAAATGCTTGAAGACATTAAAGAAATATATCTACAACTAAAACTACAGCTATTGATATCTATATCTCTTACCAACAGGTTTAGGAGAAGATTTATCAAGTTTCTCAGAATATATTCTATTCCCTTTATCTCCTGTAGGATGATCTTTTTTAGGACTGATTTTACTTGGTTTTACTGTTAAAATTATAGAAAAAACAGGTATTGATACCTCATCTAACAATACAATAATAGTGTTTACATTCAAGATTTATACCTATCGTATACCCCTTATACACTCGGCCCCGATAAAGAGAGCCTGGCCCGCATCGGTGCCTGGCTCCGATCAAAACGTCTGTTTACACTGGCATTCTGTGATCCGATTAAATTGGCTCGCTTTATTACGTTTACATTAGTAAAATTGAAGTGGGCTAGGCACCAATCAGGGCCTGGCTCACTTTATCGTAGCCGAGTGTAAAAGGCTTATATTTAAAAAAAACTGCCATCTGCTAAAATTGTAATGTAAGATGTGTAGATCTTATTTCAGTAATAATATTAAGCAATCACATAGCATGTGGTATAAATGTGAAATTCTCATATCAATAAATCAAATTTTGTTCTTCTCATTGGAGGAGTCCACTACTATACTCCTATTACTTTGGATTTTGTCATACCTTGGACGAGATTTTGATTTACAGAATTGTCTTGCTTGTATGGATTTTTTCTTTTTTTTTTTCAATTAGCTTGCCCTGTAAATCAGCTGTCAATTGATTTATATAAAATAAGTAGGATTTATGTATTGGTATAATACTACTATTCTGACAATCTGTATTTCAATCTAACTGAATATCTATTTATACCTTGTTGTTTAGGGGAGGTAACTCCAGATTCTAGTGACGTGGCTTCTGATTTACCAAAACTTTCTTCTACAACTTTAATAAATATATAAAATAAACTTGTGTTAACTTGTGTTTTCATTTTAGTCAGTGATATTAAACTCTTATGTTATCAGTAGGCTCAGATAATCAGAGATGAATCTTATACATAGCAGAAATAACGATCTAAAAGATGAACCAAATATGGCTTTATTTCTACAATTTTTATTAAATATAATCAATAATTAATCTTAATATCACTCTTTTCCACTTATATACACTCTTCTCCACATGATATCACTTGATAATTCTTGAATAAGTTATATTTATAAAGCATTTTATTTATCAGTTTTCAGTTTAATTTGATAATCTAATAATTTTCCTAATCATCAAGTATAAAATCATGTATAAAATAAAGGGTAATATAGACTAGAATAACTAATAAAACCTAAAGGTACCTGGTGGAGCACTATGAATTGCTTTATTTTCACTTTTACCAATTGTTTCTTCTACTAGTCCACTTCCTATTATAAATAGAATTTAGTATTTTCTATTAGTTATGTCCTTCTGTTCGTGCCTGAAGACTCGTTAAGCATATAGCAGAATTTTCCCATAATGAACTATCTGGAGATCCTTAACCCAAATTGATTATAAATATTCCATCTGAAACACATTTCTCCTACATCTCCTACAAGGTCTAAACCATTTTTCCATGTTGATCTCAAATTAACATCATTAATAAATGAAATGAAATGAATGGAGTTTTACATCCTACTTTTCTGCAAATTATGGGCTAATGAACATCTTTATCAAGGGGAAACTTGGATAATAACAAAAACTCCTCTTTCTGATTCTTGAGGAAAAACTGGCATGCTTAGGCCAGCTAATGTTCAACTGTTGGATAGGCTTCGAGTAAATATAATAATAATAATAATAATAATAATTGTATTTATAAAGCACTGAAATATACTAATTTTTCATCTTCTTAATTTAAATTTACAGAAAGTTGTGTATATTTTCTGTACCTTTGGAATGAGCTAAATCTGTTTGATCTAATTTCTCACTGTAAATTCTGTTTCCTTTATCACCAGTATAATATCCATGTTCAGTTTTTATTGGTACTGGGGCTACATTTTCAAACATATATATTAATAAGACTTTTACCAAAAATTTACCAATGTATAAAATACAACAGAGAAACAATAAAAATTCCCTTTCAAGATTTTCATGAATTCTTTTAAACATTTAAATTGATCATTGCCATCTTTATAAAACAACAAGCAATATTTCTATCTTGAACTATCAAACTTTAAAGGTTACAGATTAAAATTACCAGCTATTATCAGATGTTGTTTTTCACCAGTGATTAATATTATAAGAGACAAACTATTTAGTTAAGTTTCTACAGAAAGTTTTAAACAAGACAGTAGATAAGAAATATTATATTATTAGTTAGTTTCGACAAGCTAAATGTTGTTAGTATCACTACCAAGCAGTTTAAATAGGTCAAGTAATACTTCTCTTTTGAGAAGTCCACTACTATATTATATTACTATTACTCTCGATATTGCCATACTTTGAACAAGATTTTGGTTTACAGAATTGTCTTGCTTGTACGGATTTTAAATTCAAAGAAGTTGAACAAAAAACAAATACCCAATAAACATTATTAGCTTGAAGATGCCCATTTGACAATTCAAGTTGCAGAGTAGCATAAGGTGTTAACATTATTATATAATTGATGTAATGAGCACTATTCAAATAGTGAAAATATTTTGTTATTGTATTAAGATATATATATGTTTAGTGAAGCAAAATGCAAATCAGGATATGATTCAAGACAAAGACACGATCAGTCTATTTTTATTGGAGGTAGATTAAGTAGTGCCATATAAACCATACATGTACTTATATTGTGCTTCTACTTATTCTACCTAAAAAATAGCGGATTGTTTTTTTTATACTTTGAATCAAAACTGAATATGCATTACTATATATGCTCGATTATAGAAAAATATTCTATATAGAAATAGCTAATTAGACCATAAACATAATATACAAATATCACTAGGAACAGAGAGACCAAGAAAGATATCAATAGTAATATTACTAGAAACAGAGATTCTAAAGAGTCAGCTTCTATAAGGAATATATCAATAGAAATATTACTAGAAACAGAGATTCTAAAGAGTCTAGAATACAGAGCAAGCTTCTATAAGTAATATATCAATAGTAATATTACTAGAAACAGAGATTCTAAAGAGTCTAGAATACAGAGTAAGCTTCTATAAGTAATATATCAATAGTAATATTACTAGAAACAGAGATTCTAAAGAGTCTAGAATACAGAGCAAGCTTCTATAAGTAATATATCAATAGAAATATTACTAGAAAGAGAGATTCTAAAGAGTCTAGAATACAGAGCAAGCTTCTATAAGTAATATATCAATAGTAATATTACTAGAAAGAGAGATTCTAAAGAGTCTAGAATACAGAGCAAGCTTCTATAAGTAATATATCAATAGAAATATTACTAGAAACAGAGATTCTAAAGAGTCTAGAATACAGAGCAAGCTTCTATAAGGAATATATCAATAGTAATATTACTAGAAAAGAACAGAGAATCTAAAGAGTCTAGAATACAGAGCAAGCTTCTATAAGTAATATATCAATACTAATATTACTAGAAAAGAACAGAGATTCTAAAGAGTCTAGAATACAGAGCAAGCTTCTATAAGTAATATATCAATACTAATATTACTAGAAACAGAGATTCTAAAGAGTCTAGAATACAGAGCAAGCTTCTATAAGTAATATATCAATAGTAATATTACTAGAAACAGAGATTCTAAAGAGTCTAGAATACAGAGCAAGCTTCTATAAGTAATATATCAATAGTAATATTACTAGAAACAGAGATTCTAAAGAGTCTATAATACAGAGTAAGCTTCTATAAGGAATATATCAATAGAAATATTACTAGAAAAGAACAGAGATTCTAAAGAGTCTAGGATACAGAGCAAGCTTCTATAAGTAATATATCAATAGAAATATTACTAGAAACAGAGATTCTAAAGAGTCTAGGATACAGAGCAAGCTTCTATAAGTAATATATCAATAGAAATATTACTAGAAACAGAGATTCAAAAGAGTCTAGGATACAGAGCAAGCTTCTATAAGTAATATATCAATACTAATATTACTAGAAAAGAACAGAGAGACCAAAGTTAAGATTTTTTAAGGAAGATATCAATAGTACTAAAGCTATATCTGAATAAACCTCAAGCAATAAAACAGGTGTTTCTTACCAACAGGTTTAGGAGAAGATTTATCAAGTTTCTCAGAATATATTCTATTCCCTTTATCTCCTGTAGGATGGTCTTTTTTAGGACTAAACTTTGCAGCTATAAATGTGGAAAGAAATACACATCTACTTAACTCCATAATTGATTTCCTTTGTTTACAGTATGTTATGGATTTTGTCTGGACTACTAACATTATAAAAGTTGAATCTTAGATTTACTGCTTACTTTTGTCGTGAAAATGATAAATTCTTGAGATATGGGCTAGGTTTGATGAAGAGAACTCTCTGTAAGAAAAACCTATGGGATTGTTTGTATGGATGAATAAGTACATATTTTATTTCTTTTTTTCAAATCTTCTCATCCCACCATATCTTTGAGGGAAAGAAGACTTAAATTCCACAGGTTTATTGTAGATGACCAGTAAAGATTTATGTTCAAAGCTCAATACTGTGATGGTAAACAGTTGAATGTGCTGGCAGGTGTATAATATGTATAAATAACTTACGTGTAACAGGTGTCTGTTTGGGTGGTGCTGCTGATGTTAGAGGTGCTGATTCTACTGTTATTACATCATCAGCTACCATACTCTCTTCTACTACTAGAATATAGAACATAGAACAGCTCTATCACTTGGCCAGTCTTAAAGGTAATACCTTTAATAATGAATAAATTCATGGATTTTTACAAATATTTGATGACATCTTGTTTACTCAGACCCATAGCATTCTGTAACTGTGTTTTCAACCAGGCGTCCACTTTGAAGAGTCTACATAGCTAATATATCAAAACAAATTTTTAAGATGCTGAAATGTAGACAATATCGTCAACCAACATTAAAAAAACACAACTTCATAAGTACCTGGAATTTGTTCAGATTTGACATTTTCTTTGTCATCTTTCTGTTCTGATGCATTGTCAGGTGTTTTTATCACAGATTGATTGGTTTGAGCCACCTCTTTCACTACTTCCTCCTTCTGTGGACTTCCTACATCTTCAGTAGAAGCTTCATCTTCTTCATCCTCTTTCTCTTTCTCAGCTTCTTTCTGTTTTTGTGAGTTTACTAATTGTAAGGTGGTGGACTGAAACGGACAGTTAAAAATATTAGTCTCTGTGATAAATATTCATTTTCATGAAGTTTTTTTTAACAAATTGTGCTCAAAAGGTAATAGCTAAGAGTACATTTGTGGTTCTTTCTGTTTTTGTGAATCTACGTTCAGCTTTGGGTGAAGTTTTCACAACCTTCTCTGTACAAGTTCCAATGAGCTTACTTACTTCTTCAAGAAATTTACCAATACATTGAAAATATCAAATATTCCATACTTACTTTTATAGAGGTGAGTAAAGATGATAAAACTTCAGTTCCTTTATAAGATTCATCAGCTTCAAATTCTTCTCGTAAATCTTGATATACATTATTCATTATCTTCTTTACCTGCAATTAAATTAGTCATTAGAAAATTTGTGATGAAGCCTTCTAGAGTCTGCTTACTAGGGACTGTCAACCCTTCTCACCATAGTGAGATGTGTTTCGATATTTTGATAGAAAATTGTTATAAGCTTATAGTAATTTCCTGCAAACCCTGCACATGGATTTTTTTTTGGAAACATGACCTTGTAACTGTTATATTTTAGTCTCATTTGGAAGCAGAATAAAATCTAGAAAGTTTAAAATAAGAGTCTTAAGATCATTTGACTTAAATGTGGTATTTGTCAAAGTAGAATTTCACATAATTCTCATTGTAAGAATTTTTATGCAATGGGGTCCAGACCAACATCTAAAAACATCAAAATTACAGAGTTACCTCAATAACTAAATCCCCAGAGGGAGCCACAGTACTTGATATAGCACCACTATTTTTAACTTTATCTGTCAACTCTTCAATTCTCTCTTCTAATTCCTCAATTTTATCTGTTTGAGTTTCGTTGTCGTCTTCTAGTTCTTGTATCTTATCTTCATATTTCTCTTTCATAGCCGTGGCTTGATTTCGTAGATTATCATACTGAAATGGTTAAAATTAATTATGTGGCTTGAACTGGAAATGACTAGGATTGGTGTAAAACAATGTTTGGTGAGTGATCGATACAGCAGAAAAAAAACAGTAAGGCTTTTTTACATGCCCAACAAATGGTGGTTGAAGGTACCAATAATTCAGGAAAGATCAATGTCAAGAGGTTTAGCAAAGGACCAGCTAATGGACATGATCTCTGAGAACAAAAGTTTCTACACTTGGAAAAACACTACCAAGGAGTTCGGCTCAGGACAAGCTTGTTAATAAATCAAGTTTTTAACCAAGTTTTTAAGAATTCTTTGAAAACCTTGATCAATTCTGTTTTTAATATGAAATATCACCATCGTATTTTCAATAATTTAGGGTGTATGTTGATAAATCCTGCAGAATCCATCAACAGAACATTAATTTATTCTCACCTTGTCTTTCCAGACTTGTAATTCTTCTATTTCTTCTTCTAGTTCGTTTATTTTTTCATCGTTAGTATTGTTACTCACTCTTAATGTCTGTACCTGGTAATAAGACAAATATATAGTTTAATGCAAAATTTACATTATATTTGTCAAAATTCCTCAGGATATCTTATGTGTTGAACTTGCCAATTTCTTTTGTCATTTTGAACTATTATTGTGTAATATTTGGTTGGGTTTTATCAATGTTTATGGTTGTATCTCAATTCAACCATTGAAAACCTCATTACCTTAAAAATGTGATGTTTGTAGAAAGTCTTTTACAACATAAGCATTTTGTTCAGGGGAGTTTAAAAACCTGGATTTTATTAAATACAGTAATCTAATTGAATAGTGATATTTCATTTAAAATACATTTTAATGATTGATCACTGGGAACACTAAAATCATCTTAAATTGAATCAGACTTCTTTTCTATCATGAAACTTGACAAATGTGATGTTTGTAGAAAATGTTTTTCAACCTGAGAAAAATATTGAAATTATGTGCCACCACAAAAGAACTATGAAATATACTTACCCTGTGTTCTGATTCTTTCAGTTTTTGTTTTAAATCGTCCAGTTCCTCTGTAATATCTTGTAAAGCTCGGGAATGTTTCTCATTAGCTGTAGTCAGTAGTTTATCACATTTCTTCTGCCATTGTTCTTCTATTTCTAACTCTATTCTAGACATCTATAATATATCAAATATAATGCACAAATATAATACATCAAATATAATACATCAAATATAATACATCAAATATAATACATCAAATATAATACATCAAATATAATACATCAAATATAATAGAGTTTTACATCACACTGTTAAAAGAATTTCAAGGTAGATAAAGACAAAAAATACAATTTGATAAGAAAGTGAATTTCGATAGAACTGGGGAATTTGTAAAAGACAGCCACAAATTTTAATATCAACTGTTAAGATTAAGATTATTGAACTTAGTATAGCCCTCATTACTGCTCTAAGCATTTACTGCAATGGCGCTTTACAAACACAGATATTTCTACATTATCAATGTTTATACACATACATACACACACACAGTTGTTTTAGTCAAAAGAGTCAAGAGATTTAAAAATAGGTTTAACAGATGTTTTTGTAAAGACAGTGCTTACTTCTTTTGCTCTTATCTAATACTAATTAATATATCTTACCAATGCTAAGTAAAATCAGCCTTACCTTATCTGAAGTAGACTCATCAGCTGATGTCTTGGCTCTTCGTAGTTTGTCATGTAATGTCTGGATTTCTTGCTGAAATTAAAAATTGAAATTGTCAAGCTCTAAACCTTTTAAAACAAAAGAAGTAAGACATTTTTTCAGGAAGGCCGACCATAAATCTAATCACTTGATTGGTATGGTTGATAAACCTTGTTATTAAAGTTTTTTTTGAAAATTTGATCAGCCACTAACCTCCATGTTAGTTTTTATTTCTTCCATCTCTTCCTCTAGTTTCTTCCTTTCAGCTGTCGTCTTTCTCCTTCTATCTGCTATACTCTGATAAATATATAACATTATATTTACTATATAGGCCTACTGTTATTGTATTATCTTAATTATGGTTACACTTTATAAAGTGATAAGGTTTTGTACCATATGTGTGCCAACCACTGGTTACATTCTATTCTTATTGCAGGTGCTTTCCACTTCAATTAATTGGCTTGACTAGTAAGGTCGTGTTTGATATCTGTCCCAGTCCTGTAGTAATGAAACCCTAATATGTAGTAAATAACTAGAGTAAAAGTATTTGAAAATCTACAGTACTATTGGAAAATTGAGGCATCAAACTTGATATAAATACATACACCTTCCAGAGGACAAAAAAAAACTTTTCTTCCCAAAAATAAGTTTTTAATGACATCACTACCACCAAGGCCTTTTGATAATCAAGACATCAAACACTTAGTTTTAGTGGAATTGTAAGAACCTGATTGAAAATTGGAATGGTACAAATATAATAACAGTGTCCCTGATAAACATAAAAAGTATAAAATTCCTTTTAACAATCCCTTTAACCTCAGCATATTCTTTCAGGTTTTTTTGAGACCTTGTAAAACTAATAAATTTATAAATAAACTTACTCGTTCCAGGTTTTCTTTAGAAGATTTTAAATCTGTGAATTCCTCCTGTAAAGTATTTAAACTACTCTCTAGGTTTTTACGATGTTGTTTTTCTTCTCGTAATGAAGCTGTTAATTCTCCTATCTTCTTCTCATCCTCTACAAACATAATAACAAGGTCAAAAATAGTCACATTTATTATTTCGCCGTGGCTACATTTCATCCTCTTTACAATGGTCAAGGTATTACAAGCCACCTTTCTTGTATTGCAGAAATTTGTAAATGAAGCGATTTGATTGGATTCTACGCCAGCAGATACAGCATATCAGAACCCTCTGCAGAGAGTCTGTGAAAAATAAGCTATAAAGTTTACACCCTTTCACAGGCGTACAATCCAATCAAATCACTTCTTTAGTGATACAAGAAAGGTCAAGGTATAAATCCGTAATTTTTGAACATTGTGAAGATGACATTTCAAATGCAGTAAATCATCTACATTTTTCAAACAAAGAAGTGGCTAATGATGTCAATGTTAAGGAAAGTTTTTAGTTGGTTTGTTAGATAATTCAGTTACCATCATGTTGTACACGTAATCTCTCTCGTTCCTCTGCTGACTGGTATGACGTATCTTTTGTTGATTGTATTTTCTGGATTAATTCAGCCTCGTTCTTCCGAGATGTGGCAAGTTCTAGTTGGACAGAGCTGAGTTGAGCTGAGGCAGCGCTTAGATCACTGGCCAGTTGTACCTATAATATATACACAACGGGTTATTGGTTTTTTTTTCCTTTCTGAATTAACAATAAGTGGTAACCATGTCTTGGAGAATAACTAAACCTGTGAAATTAAATTGTACATCTACATATTATCAAAAACTGTCTCTGCAATACATCAAAACTATTACATATTTCTTTCTCGTTTCACTTTAGTAGGGACTGAAGACCCCCCTTCCAAAATCTTGTCACTTTGAACAATCAAATAAAACTTGAAGCCTCTGAATTAGCACCAAAGAATTGTGAACTCTTGGATGAACAATAACTCTTACAAAGTTTTGTAGCAAATCAAGGTATTGATAAAAAAAAAGTGTGCACACAACAGTTCTAAAATCCAGCTAAGTATATTATATTTAATCCCTATTTTACTCAAATTTCACTATATTCACCTCACACTAAGATAACAAACAACTTTATCAAGTTTTTCACCAATGGTTTAATCAATCAAAAAGAAAGTGTGCACATGAACATGTCTCATAAAATAGGTCTAAAGTCAAAGCTATTACTGAGAATAAACAAAATATTATAACTTTATATATGTAATGTAGGGCAAATAGAATAGAAAATATCAAAATAAAATAGAATACAAGTTAACATTGAATAACAGAACACAATATTATGGTATACCTATATACATATAGACTAGAAATTACATGAAAGGGCCACATTAAACTGTTCTCTTACAAAACAAAATGACAAAAGTATTTTTTTACTGGCTAGGTATATGATAATAATACTGTACTCTGTATTGGTATACTATCTACAGTCCAATTGTCAACTACTTCTTTCAAAATTACCAGCCTGTTCAATTGACCATGTTATTTTACAGAATGTGTTATATTTTACCTAATATATGCTCAGTTAAATAAGGTCACAATTCACTTAAAGAAATGTTTTTGTTAGTTCCGCTTTTTTGCACCCTATTGGCCTAATGAAATGTTTAATAGAGTTTTTAAATCTTAGTATTCTGTACCTGATTGGACAAATTAAATTAAACATAGTTAAATGTCCTACTTTTTTGCACCCTATTGGCCTAATAAACTTAAATGGAGATTTTGAGTACTACTTTTCTGCACCTAAGTGTTTAAGGCCGATTTTTTTCCTCTCCTGATTATGCTAATGAAGACTGCCAACCCGAAGCAGTACACAATGATTCCATGGGCACAGTGACATTGTAGAATATCCAGTAATGTCTTGATAGACTAATGAATGGCTCAGCTTTGTATAGATAAACACACCGATATTCCATCTCTAAGTCACCTCCGCAGGAACAGGAACCGGGCCAGAATTGTTAGGCTATTAAAAAGTGAAATAATACCTACCTTCTGTTGTTCTAGTTCTAATATTTTAGACTGTGATTGAGAAGCTGTGTGTTTATATCCTTCATTTCGTTCTTCTAGTAGTGTATTACTTTGTTCCACAAACCTTCAATATAAAATATAAGCTAGTACTCATCTAGTGGCAAAATATATTCTGGAGGCAATTACTCAGACAAGTAATTAGATTTTAGTATTCTAGTTATCTGATTAATGAATTACTAAATTAATCATAAATCATCTTCTTTTAACAGATCAGGGGTCTGTTTCACCTAAACTAATCATAAAATTATTTCAAATGTACCAGCCTTATAATTTGGGGTAAAATTGATTAACAATATAATATATTTGTAAATTGCCTTCAATCTAGTAAATAATACTGCTTCCTGACGCTAATACATATTGTAAAATACACAGATGTTGTATATATATATATAAAGTAGGGGTCTAAAAAAAACAAAATTGGTTGGTCCCAGTAAAAACACAATGTTCCAAATAAAACAGTTATAAAATGATTAGAATTATAAGAAGACTGAATGAGGATATTCATCAGCTTGGTAATAAGTTAACATATCTCAAGATTTCCATTCCAGACCAGAAACACAGAGCTTCCAGAGATGACAGCAGACAAATCACATGACCTGTCTTAAGAGAAAAGCATCTGTTATATTCTGACATCATGTATATTCTGACTGTTAACCATCATAAAAGTTTTATTTTTCTCCAAAATTACTTTTCAGACAAGAAAATAGTTTCAATTTTTATCAAATAATACTATCAAATAAGGAAAATTGTTCAAACATTATTATTAACATTACCTAAAGTATTCAAATTTTTCTATGAAAATTATTGGCTCCATATTTCTCTTTTAAAGATTTTCTCCAGATTTTTATTCCTGACCTGTACACGTTTTTTTGCATGTCTTTCGCAAATAGGATTTTCCTTGGTTACTGACTTGAAATGTGTAGAGCCAGTAGACAAAATAACTAAAATGTCAAGCCTATATTTGTTTACATTACATTTACATAAAATATACTAGTAAATACTTTATTTTTTAACTTTGAAAACTTGAAATTAGATAGTCAACATTGTCCTGATGTTTTTTACAAACTTATAAAAATATAAAAGTATAACATGGCCAGTGATGTAATTTGACTATGTATTTATCATTGCAATTTGAACAGCAGGACCTCGAAAGTTGCCAAAATAAAGCTATTATTAATCATATATCTTATTCTCCTTAAAGCATCTCAAGAATGTGCAACTTTCTATGCATGACTAGAAACAATTGTTGAGTCATTTCAAGAGAGGTGAGGAATTAAAGGTGATGCCCTAGATAGGACATTTTTCTGATCATTTAGTTACTGTATCTATCTTCCTATATTGATTATATATATTCACTTTATTTAAGTTGTATTTACAGACTCCCAGTTCGCATTTGTAAAGTTATAATTGAGAACTGAAAAATTATTGTATTAAAACAAAATAAAAGAGGAAATGTGTCAAATCTATAAGTACTTTGTCCCTGAAGGTTTCTAATTCTAAGTTAATAAAAAAATAGAATTACCAACTGTTTCCCATTTTGTTTAGGTTAAAGAATACACATCCAATACGCTGGTGAACTTAAGAATTTTTGTCTGTAATATTTTGTGGTAGTAAGAACACTGACAGTTTTACTTGATCATTAACAATTATTTCACTTGACACATTTCAGAAGAAGTAGTCCATAAAACTGTTTACACTTTCTAAAGTTCACACACAAACAGGTTTTAAAGATGATCAAATTAAAATATATAAATTATAAGTTGATAAAGATGTTGATAACTATTTTCCAACCTCAATATAAACTATCAGTTTACACATAGAAACTTCAAGATTTGTCTAAAAAGCAAAATTTTAATTTCAGAATTCTTGGTTTAATATCAAAAAATATTTTCACCGCAATATGAGATTAAAATATTATCACTTTGGATTAGAAAAATTGCGTAAATGTTCACAAACTGAGAAAATATCCACTTCAAAATCTTCAACTTTTATAAATGTTTATGTTTATAATCTAAATCTATAATAGTCCAGTTAACACATTGAAACTTAATATCCTTGAAGTAAATTCCTAATTCAATCATCTTAATCCAAAAAATCTTGAACAAATCTATTTTAGGCTGTAAAATGTCAAACAGTGTCAAAACACGTCACAAGTAAACAAAGTTTATTCTCTAATATTGTGCACTAGGTAAATAGTTGTCTGAGATACCCTAGTAATACACAGTTGAGAAAAGATAGTATATCCCTTAATTCTTAAAGAGATTGTAAAGAGGATTTCTAAATATTCTATGTGTATCGAGGACACTGATAGCATCAATTTGAACCATTCCAATTTCCATTCTGATGTCTGTGGTTCCTGCAATTCCACTAAACCAGTAGAATTGCTAGAACCACAGATTTTGATTGAAAATTGGAATGGTGCAAATTGATGCTGTCATTGTCAATATACATTTAGAAAACCTTTTTACAATCCCTTTTAGTGAAATTTAGGGGTAGAGATCACATAAAATAACAGAACACTAATGGAATAATAATGGAGTAGTATACTGGTACTATAAAATTGTATTCTATTATTTAATGTATTTATATTAGATATCTAGGGTAGTACTTAATCCATCAAAGATATCTGTGTACATTCAGGGACAGTTAAAAATATCAAAAGATAAACACGAGCAATCCACTCTATTGTAAGAATAACTATTTATGACACTGTATAAGTCAGACCTGTACTTTCTTTATAACAAATCCTACTACTTCTGAATAAAATTTGTTTTGTTTGTCTAAACACTAAACCAACAGGACCTGTTACTCAAAAAACCTTGAGATCAAAATTATTAGACTGTGAAACTTTACACATTAAAACTTCAACTTGTAAGAAATTTGAATAATTTGGTATTTTTTAAACATAATGTCTCTGCTCTGCTTGGGTAAGTATTGAGTTATAATGGCAATAAAACAGTATGGTTTAATAACAGATTTCAATTCCACCACTGAACCATGGCTATAAATACCTAAACAACTTCAAAATACTGACACTGTCAAAATATAGCACTGTCCTCTGTCAGTGATGCAGGTAAGAGGGGCTGACATGGACAAAGCGTCTAGTTTTTCGGATGGCACTATAAACCAAGGCTCCGTGTGCTACAGGCTGTGCAAGTTAAAGATCCCTCGACAGTTGGAAATTGAAAAAGAGTAGGCTAATGCCGCTGTCCTGGCAAAATTTCCCTCATTGCACCCTGCATGGCGTTCTGAATTAGCTCACATGGTGCAGAAACGTAGGACCTAAAACTCCATTCATTTCATTTCATTTTCTTAAGAAGTTATTTAATTGTAATTCTATAATAGTTCTATGGTTAACTAATCATATCTGTATATCACAGGACCCTATGATAGATAAAATGGATCTAAAGACAGTAAGATACCCACATTGTTTTTAATTCAATAAAATATATCACTCATAATTCATATTTGTGTTTCAAACAAACAATTTGCATTTTTAATCAAAGTAAAATCTTCAGTCCAGATTTCTTTGAAACAAATACTGGAAAAATACACAGGAATATAATATGACTATGGCCATGTGTACATTCTGTGATTTTTTTTATTTTAATTGAGTGATCAACTAGTTGGCAGGCGATTGCTTTTCTTGCAATTTTGATAAGTAAATAATATCAGTCAGTGTTCACCTGGCTTAAGGTTGAGCAAAACTATTTCTGTACATTCTAGGTCAATTTAAAACATAAACAACTACAGTTTACTTTAGGTACTTAGAGGCCATACAGGTCTAACTTCCATGGTTTGGGTGGGAAGATAGAACTGTTGGAATCTAAACTAAATTAATAATTCTGATAATATCATGGGTTATTATAATCATACATCAATTAAAACCTACCCTATAAATAATGAAGTTATCTCAGTATTCACACTAAGCCTAGTCTATATCAATATTATTGTTGTTAAAGACATGTCTGAATTAATCTCAAACAGGTTTTTTATAGTATTTAAATACCAGTTTAGTTACATTTCTATCACTTGGTATTACTTTAACCTCATAAACTATATATTGAGTCTATAACTGATCAGTAGCTTATTTAAAATCCCAGTTCTTGTGGCTATAAGTATGCAATGTTTAAGTTTGTATTTAATTTTTGTATTTTTTGTTTTTACTGTAATTGTGTTTTAATTTTGATATATCAGTCTATAGGTGTTATGTAGTTTAGAGCATACTATTTTAGCCTAGCTTACTTTGTAGACACAGACCGGCTGAGGGGGTCATTCATCGGGCTGGGGACAAATTGATATACTGAAATGTACATGGAATAAATAGGGTACATTTTGATGGTTTCATACTCTTGAACTACAAGTTATTTGCTTACGAACAGGTCACTTTATTTTGAGGTAGTCTTGGTAGTAATCAAATCAATATAAATCTTTTTCAAAATAAATAGACTGCTTGTGTTAATGTTTTAAATTAGATGCAGACGTACATAATATCTCTGTTGTTTAAAGATTTAAAAACTAATGGTTCTTACCTTTGATTTTTATGTAATAATTCTGCTATTTTCTCATTCTGACTTTCAATTTTAGCACTTTTATCAAATAAATCTTTCTTAAGGTGTTCATTTTCCTACAAAACAGATCAAGTAGTTATAAGATATTTTTCCTTATTATTCCAGTTGTTCTGTTAAATGAGAAGATTAATGCCAACAGGTTTGGCCAAGGACATGATGGTAGACAGGATCTCCAGTAAACCTAATTTGTTATACTTGCAAAATATATATATATTTTTTTTTATTTCTTTCTTTGAAAATTAAAGGGTTGATAACATACCTGAGCGATTCTAGTAACATTTTGTATCAGTATAGTAACTTCCATATTAGGAGCTGTAATACCTAATGATGTAGAGGAACCTCCTATTGAATGTAGATCATTTAGCTACAATAATAAAAAGAAAAGAGTTTTAACAGTTCAATTCAATCAAATACAGGTCAGATTCAGTTGGAGATGTCATATCTGTACGTTAGTTTTTACAGTTTAATTCAATGGAATAGATAATGTTGGAGGCTTCATAAGTATAAGTTACATGAAAATTGTATATGCGATTCGAACAGGATTTCCGCTGTGTTTCACCTGTGCCGAAAATAAGAAGGTGTAGACCGAATTCAAAATGGCGGAGAAAAGAATAGAAGGGTAATTTTGAATGTTGACATATCTGGTTTCATATAGTTTCCATCGAGGGCTGGAATAGACAGAACCTGTTCAGAACTCAACAATCAAGTGCTACTACAGTTTTGTGTAAAAGAAAGATCACATCATTATAAGTGTGTATAGAAATATTGTTTACCTTTTCATAGACCTTATCCACCTTGTCTCCTATTTTACTGATAGCCATTCTAACTTCTGTATTCTGTTGTCTAGTTTCTGTTAGTAATACAGGACCAAATACATCAGCTGATTGTTGACTAGAAGGTGGGGTAGTGCTAGCTCCTGAAAGTTTATAAAATATTGGTTACAGGACTATATCCCCAGTGGCGGAGCAGTAAGGGGGCAGTAAGTTTTTCAGGAAAAAATCTCATAACTAGGTTAGAGATTCAGACAATCTCAGATATCTCGCCCCCTCTCGGACATAAACCTGGCTCCGTCAGTGTGTCCACAGTGATACAAACAGAAGCATAGGGACTTTTGATTTGACTAGATGATGATGATAGTTCAAAATATTGATTCAAAGTTACACTGATACCAAGATTATAGATGATAAAGGATTATACAATCATTTGTTTTTCAGTTTTTTTGCTTGTGATGTGAATACTATACAGGTCAGGATTGCCATTTAAAACAAACAAAAAGAAAACACTGCAGAAAAGACATTCCAATCTAATTAATTAGTAGCTGAAACAATATTAGTTAAAAATATTCACAATTACAACTCAAAATAGAAACATGCATGAAAGTTTCATCTCCATCTAAATTCAATAAACCAAAAACAGCATACATTTTCAGTCAATTGAATAGAGCATGCTAACAAGGGGCTCAGATGAAAATTTCTTTTACGAAAATCAAACAATGCCTGAAAAGACCATGCTCAAAAAAATTCCAGCACCAATCTAAAAGAATGGGGTTATAACCTTTGCTAGATTCACACTGTGTTTCTACAACATCTATAGAGTAAAAAATACTTGGTTTAAAACTTTAATACAATTCACTTTGTAGTCAGTTCAACACGAAGTCACCTGTAACTATGTGGGCCTACTCAAATACTTGGTATCTAATTTGTCTCAGATTAAATGGTGAAAAGTCATAAAGTTTTTCTGACAATTGACGCACAAAATTATGAAAGTTGGAAAATTTGCCTTATTCCTCAGATCTATACCAGAACTAGGCCATGCCCTGTATACTTCTGACCACAATCAATTTTCCTTGTGTCAGTAGAATTTCCCAGATAGTTCTTGCTTAATATTTGTTTACTGATCTAGAAAGTTTTAGTACAACAGAAGACAGAGTGGCCTGTATTAAAGTTTAATGTCTCAAGACAGGGATTAGCCATTTTACAACATTAATAAGTCAATAAATTGCATTGAGGCCTTAATCTCAAAAACTTATTAAGATAGAATCAATATGTAAAGAAATACAGTAATCTGATTGGATAATAAAACAAACTTAACAAATGATTAAGTAATTGACCAATCAGATGACTGGAACACTAAATCACTGTAAGTTAAATTCTCAAGATAAGGCCCCTTAACGTAATCCTGTCTTTAAAAAATAATGAAGATAGACACTATTAACTAAATAGAGGGTGAGATTTGTGACGACAGATGAAGAAATAAAAGAGATTAAGATAAAGACTAAACTAAGAAGCTAGAAACTGATATTAAGATATCCTACCAGGATAATAAAAAGAACCTGAAAAAATTATGTAAGTAAATATAGTCTAAAGTATATGTATGGGGGCTCCATAGTGGACATAGATCTACTATATTGAATGATAGCTACTAGACAAGTCACAGAGTTTGTGATCTGATGGACTTTAATTAATGGATTAGGATTTGGATTTGACGTGGTTATGGAAAGAAACATGTCAGTTTGGTTGGCTATGAGTCAGATTTTGCCTTGTGATTTGATAGTTTATAATGCAAATATTATTTTGTAAATGAATGGAATTCATTTCATATTATCATTAATCTATTTAGGTTTTGCGAACACAGTGTGAGAACCATATTGAAACCTTTACACTAATAATATTCTAGAAGTTAATTATTGATTCCACCCAAACTGAAAAGAGCAGAGTAGGCTACATTACAAGAATCCCTAGATGGACCCTTCCCAAGATAAGCACTAATCTTCATTCAAACTTTTAATAGGTTAAAATCACACAAATTGTTAGATCAAAAAACAAGACTAAGACCTTTAGAATGAATAAGGAGTAAAAGTATCTACTCTGCTATAGAGCTGAATATAATTCAAACAAGAATCAGGTAAAGAATAGGCTACATACCAGAATATGGACTTTGTACCATCATTCCGCCACCAGCTCCCATCTGATAGCCTTGTTGTTGATATCCCTACAATCATTAATAAAAATATAGTAAACCATCTGATAAAAGTTTCAGTCATAAAAATGTAATACTACCTATTGATTTGGGAACTTTTAGTTCTGTTCTACAATTCTGAAATTAATACCTTAAAGGGATTGTAAAGAGGTTTTCTGAAAAATTTTATGTGTATCAGGGACACTGATAGCATCAATTTGCACCATTCCAATTTTCTATCAGACATCTGTGGTTCCTGCAATTCCACCCAAACTTAGGCCTTTCATGATGTCACTAATCGTAAAGTCCTTATGTGATACAGCATATTTTGCACTTAGTGACGTCCTAAAACACTTAGTTTTAGTGGAATTGCAGGAACCACAGTTGTCTAATTGAAAATTAATTCTATCTGTGTCTCCGATACACATAAAATGTTTCACAAAACCTCTTTTAACAATGAAATGAATTGTTTATTTGTCTCCGATGATTGAATGTGCTAAAATGAAACAGGGCTAGGAAAATTCCAGAAAAATTTAGGAATATTTCATTAGTTGATGCTAACAGTTTACTATCTTGACAAAAGTTTCACAAGTTGAAAATGCCAAATCTGCTAGTTGCTTGCTGTTGGTTTCAGCTGCTAGGATGTGAAAGGGGATACATACCTGTTGTTGTTGTAGAGCAAGAAGTTGTTGCTGTTGTTGATATTGCTGTTGTTGATGTTGTAGCTGTTGATGTTGTAAGAAATTAGGTGATTGATGATAGTTAGACAGGCTACCACCTGGACCTGTAAAGATATGAACTATTTTACACATTGAAAAATATAAATGTTGCCATATTATCATTATCAGGGATGTGGACTCTCTGACAGAGTTGCTGAATTCATTCAAAAAAACAAAACAATATTAGTTATGAAAGGAAGAGTTCATATGTTGAAATAAGTGGATTCTCTGAAAGTGTTGTCAATTAAAACAGAAAATACTAAATAAACAATATTAGCTATGTCAGTTTTGTTAATTTGAATTTTATTAATTCAATAATCCCAATTACTCAAACCCCATCAGAGACTAGAATTCACATGTATGCCAGTTGAATATGTAAATCTGTAACATGTCCATGATAAGATATTTATTTATAATTCTGAAAAATGAATGACCTAAGAGTGGAAATGGGTCAGAAAGGTACATTATCATGAAAGATATTTCAAACTTTGTAAACCTCAATGCTGTCAATGCTACTATAGATATTGATGTGAATAAAAGAGACTGACCTAAATATTTGTTATTAGAATGTTTTTTCTCCATTTTGACGTTCATTAATTACTGAGTATAGGTAATTAATCAATTATAATATAATGATAATGAAGTAGTGACCACATTGTGGGAGTAAAGCATGACTGAGTGATATATCAGCAGTGAATATTAGTTAGATATTTTATCTATAGTCATTATCTATACTCTCTATATATATATATATATATCATGTGATAACAAAGCCAGTCCTTGATTGATAACAGACAACTCTTACTATTAATATTGAAGACAGGAATGTGAATATTGTTATCATTATGGGGAAATAACTCTGTTTTATCATGTGACAAGACAAATGACCCAGTGAAGGATTACATTGATAGTTTTCTTCTGTAAAAACCTTATTTGCTTAATTCACTGGTATCTGACAACAATTATTGCACCACACAAATCACTTTAGGTTGATATAAGTCGTAAATTTTTATTGTTTATTAACTTATAACGATATCACTGATGGTAAGATATGTAATTAGAAACAATCATTAGTTCTGTACTATTAACATTAAATTTTGTATCATGACTACTCAATGCTTTTGAAAGATTGTCACTCAAAAAAAAAATGTATCTAGTTTTTTATCTTAATTAGTGGTGTTCTATGTATTATTAGATGAGGGAAGCAAGTAGAGCTCACAGGATTTTCAAGGGGAGCTCACAAATAATTCTTGTGTGTAGAGAAGGGGTATAAGATTGTATAGCTTAAATTGGTGCAGTGATGACCCAGGGAACTGGGTTGAAAAAAAGGACCTATGCAAAAAATTAACCCTGGACCTTCGGATATGAGAGCAACTTGTCTAGCTCACTTGTCACTGCTGTTTCCTAAAAGTAACTTACTAGGGTTGTATTGCTGAGATATAAGTGGTGTTGGAGGATGACGGGGGAAAACTGGGTGCAAAAATCTCAACCTATGCAGGTAAGTAACCCTGGACCTTCAGGTCAAAGAGCAAGTGTCTAACTCACTTAGTCACAGTTGTTCCCTAATGGTAACTAGGGTTATATTTCTGAGATTAGTGAGATGCGAGCAGTGTTGACACAGACATGGGGGAAACCTGGTGCAAAAATCTCGACCCATGCCTTGATTGAACCCTGTATTTTGAGGTTAGAGCGTTCGGGACTCCCTATAAAGAATTAAGATAACTTACTAGGGTTATATTGTTGAAATGCAACTGGTGTAGGAGGCTGACTGTGATTACCAGGTTGTTGCTGTGTAAAATGTTGTGGTTGTTGAAAGGATTGGGAAGACTGGACATGGAATGCTGGTTGAGGTTTCTGTATCTGGGGTGGAGGTTGTTCTTCTAATTCTGGTTGATAATGCTGCTCTACTTCCTGGAAATTGAATAAAAGAATTTAAAGATGTCATATTTGGAAATTTCTGCTACAATATTTCTAACTGAAAGTGAAAAGATGCTGAGTTGACAAATCAAAATACAAAAAAAACATTATAAACTATCTGGAATCTCTGAAAGATAAGCTTTTTAAACAATTATACCAACAAAAAACATTTCCATCAATGCAAGCCCTCGAAAAAGATTTGCAAAAATTTGCAATTACTAAGAAAAACTTTGGTCCAAAATCATTTGAATAGAAATCTCTTCAGTACAGGTATCTTTTTGAACAATGGACAGGCCAAGAGAACATAAAAGTAAACATTAAATATTTAATTTCTTTCTTATTTAGCCAATCACTCAGCAGTCTGCATTTTTGAGTAATAATGTAATTTGGGATCAATATATGACTGGTTGAGCCCAGTAGTTATAGTACAAAAGTGTCAGATTCTGTGTAGATTATTGAGAACTGAACAGTGAGATAGAAGGTGATTTGAACCAATCACCAATAAATGAAAAGACGTTGGAGTTTTTAAGAGAGTAAATAATACTGTTAAGCTATTGACTTGAAATTAGGATATTGGCAGTTAACAAATTGTGAAAATAACATGGTCATATACAATCATGCAAACTTTATATCTAGAATCATGTTATTATATTTCAGATTTTTGAGATATTTAAGACAGGTTTAGGAGACAGACTAACCACCAGACACTGACAGACAGGGTGTCAACAATATACACATAATGTAATAAATATATATAACTTACAGCATCTTCATCATCATTCTCCTCATCTGAATGTTGAGCAGGTACCCCTCCTGACATTGGTAACATTGGTTTACCCATCTTAGCCATCCTGGATATTATCTTAGCTTTACCACTATCTCCATGCTGTCAATAAACAATATATATAATCTGTGAGCCTCACTGGACAACAAATCATTATATCTATAGGTCATCTAAGTTGAGTTTTATGTCCAACTGACTTTGATCTAACCGATAGGATTCATGTATTGATTTAATTCTACCATTTACAATTCTCAACACTGGCCAACACAGTAAGGAATAAAAAAGTTTGGAGATGAAAAGTAAATAAAACCCCACCTGTGCCATATGTTCTGTTATAGATTTAGTTCTACCTTTAATAGTCTGATCATCTATATCAGGTAAATCATTCACTACTTCACTAGTTGGCTGAGGGGGTGGGGCTACAGGTGCTGGGGAAGGAGCTGGAGACGGTTGATCTCCTCTCTGGAATTTTGCCTGAAAATTGATGAAATATAACTAAGCTGGTGTACAAGACTGTCCCAAAGTTCTTCTTCAACCTATTTGCCTTAAGCACTTGATTGAAGTCCAGAAACTGTATTGAAAACATAACTGAGACAAAATCTCTTTTCATTTCAATGACTCATTGGTACAAAGTCCATATCTTGATATTAAAGCCCTTCATTCCAAACTAGCTGACCAAATGATGAATCATGCCAATGTAGCTTACTTACTGTTTTTAGTTTACCCAACTTATCCTATTGGAGATATTTATTGAAGACTGTAATAAAATAGATATGCATTATGTTGTTACTTACCCTAACAAGTTCTGTTTCGAATATAAGAGTAGAGTTAGCTGGAATGCGATCTCCCATGCCCTGGGCACCATACCCTAAACTTGGGGGTATGATCAACATCCTCTTACCACCCTTCTTTAAACCAACTAATCCTGTATCCCAGCCCTGTAAATACAAATACAATCAAGCAAAGAGTTTTTTTAAAGTAAGCACATATGGGTAATTTATACAGATATACACAGAAAGATTTCAAATAATTTGGGTTTTATGCTATCCTTGACTTGGGCTATCGAAAATGAGCATGACCATGTAATCTTTGTTTTTAGCCATTAAAATTCTGCTGCTTTTACTTGAATTGAAACTTACCTTGATCACTTTTCCTTTTCCCAACTTTAATCTGAATAATTTATCAGAGTTCACATTACTGTCAAACATCTAAAAATAAAATCAACATTTTAGTATAATTCTATAGCACAGTCGGTTAAAGCATTGGTTCTTAACATGATGCCATTTGATTGGTTACATTGATAATCCAGGAAAGATCATTGCCATGAGGTTTCGGCCAAGGACCAGTTGTTATCCTAAATATAGTTGTTTCTTCCTATAGGATGTGTTCACTTACACCACTGAATTTTGGTTTGTTCTACCACTGGTTACTTCTATCATGAGCTACAGTAGTTCTTTATCAAATCATTCATTATCAGTCATATTTTGACCCAATTAACATATCACTAGACATTTGATTGGAGACTTTGTCATAATTCCTGTATATATGAAACTGGTATACTCCCCCTATTTTTAACGTAAACATGCTTGACTGTTAGTTTTTGTACATTCAATACAGTTTTTAATCATTCTCTTAGTAACATTTCTAATTACCTGACCAAATGTTCCATTTTGGAATAACCATCCTGAATATCTGACTTCTGCAGCATCTCCTGATTCTAGCGCCTTGCCTTCTCCTGGTACCAGATCCTGACTGACAACATGGTCTAGGTTACCACTACATACAGCCTTGGCTAGACATATCTATAATACATCCATAGGGAAGAGTTTATATAATATAAGTGAGGAAAATATTCCACGAATGTGTCTTGATCACCACTAGTGTGTGTATCAATTCAGGATACAAAGTACAGACAAAGAGATGATCAACTTAAACTAATGGAGTTACAGATGCTACTGTTGACATGTCATGGGCTCACATAATATGTTCAATAAGACAATTTGTCTGAAAATAAGAAACAATTATCCCTCTGTTCTTGAATTTCCAAATGTCAAAGGACTTCCAGGTAACTTACTACAAATCAAACTGCACAGCTCCTGTCAGGACTACTGACAACTACTTAAACAAAGAAATAACAAAGATGCCTTACACACTTTGTGACATCATATCTCACTTACATGTTTAGCAAACTTGACAGCATTATCTTCACTATCAAACATAACAGACCAACTCTGTCTAGCGTCATCATAAAAATTAGCATAGTTATTAGCTTGAACCTGGCAAAGATAAATTATTACACAAATTTAATTTACTTAAAGCACAAGTATGACTGATATTACCAATAAATATTAGTTTATCTGTGGTTTAAATAAGGTATGTAACACAATTCCAAAATTGAATTGTGTTGTCAATTTCTAATCAGAGCAACTGGTTTGGACATTAAAAATTTTATTTGATGAAATAATCTTATGTGCAAAAACAATGAATTGCAGTTTGGTCGAGTTTTATTAAACTTAATTTACAAGTTATCAAATTTCAATGTAACAAAGTTAAAGCTAAGCAACATCAAATTCATTACAACTGATGTGAATTTTAAATAAATAATGTTTATAAATCAACTTACTGTAAACAGTGTATTGGGTGTAATTTTAGCATTAGTTATTTGTTTATCTTTACTAACATATAATAGTACTCTATACTGTAAATAAAACATAAATAAAAAAATATTAACTTCCTGTTTATTCTCAGTTTATTTCATTTGAATCTTAAAAATCTTGTGATAAAGACAGTTAGGAATATAACTTAATGAAATACATCACTTATTATAAAATTTTCTTCAAAAGGTGCTGCTTACATTTAATCAAAAGAATTTGTTTCCAGTTTTAGGTCGAATTTGAAGTTACACTGAGAAACACTTAAAACAAAAGATAGAAATATATGGCCTTTGAAAAATTGCAAGATATATTAAGAAATGTAAACAAGTTCAAATCTGGGTTCATAAAATTAACAATATAATATCATCTGTCTATGGCACTCAGTATTTTTATAAGTTTCTGTAACTTCAGTCTAATTCATATTTAAAATCATCTTATTCCATATTGTGATGAGCAGACAGTACTTACTTCTTTACTTGCAGAGTTTCCTAATAAAGCTGATCCTAGTTTACCTTGTGAGGCATATTTACCATCAACACTATAAATATAAACAAAAACATTTACAGAGTCAAAAAACAAAAAACAAAGATAGCTTTTTCTTATAAAACTGTATTTCCAACCAAGGTTTACACATTTTAGTTACTGATATTGTAGATTGTAATCTCAACCCAAGTGGAAACAAATCCAGGGGCCTCCAGCTTTGCAATGTGACATGTTCCCACAACCACTCAAAAAAGCTCTAACAAAAACTGACAAACAAGATAGAAGAGAGCATCCATATTTTCAAAGATAATAGTATCAGTTATAGTGGATCCTGTCTACCAGGTAGTTTTGAGATCAAACTTTGTAGCAATGATCTTTCTTGTTATAACTGATTGAATCACAGTCTGACCAAGAACAAGTCTAAATAATACTCACTATTTATAAGCATGGACTACGGCAGCAACCAGAATTGAGGGAGCAGCTCCAGCCGCACCAGCATTGGCAGCAGGACCTTCAGGGGCGGCACCTTTAATATATACAATCATTGATTAAGACAATCATCTTGAAATTTCACAGGTTGTGTCAGATCATTATTAACTAAATTCTAAAGTTGAAGATTTGATTGTTAATATATGGTGAAAGGGATTTGAAATCATAAATTGAAAAAACAAAAATAGTGTAGTAGCTGTAAACTTGGCTTAGTTGACACCATTTGTTTGAAATTTTGGCGACCTTACCTTTTTTCTTGGGTTGTTTAGGTGCTGTGTATGTTAATGAGGAATTACCCCCTACATTAGTTTTCTGATCTAAACTAAATAATGATGAAAGTTTGGACCTGCGAAAAATAAATTAAATTAAAAGAAGAGTAGGCTATGGGCCATGTATTCAAATATTTGGTGTAATATGATAACTATTAGAAGTTATACCATAATATACCTCTTGTGTTTTTTGTTATAAATATGAAGACTGTCACAAAACTGCCAAAATTTACTATCAATTCTTTGAAGCCATGATTGAAGGGTACCCTATAAATTTCTTTGTGAACTATTTGAAAGCTGGCGTAAGACTTTTGTAATAAGTCACTGCCAAATCTTCCACACTGTATAAATTTCAAGTAACTGAGACGGTTGTCTTGAATAAAGGACCATGAAGCCACACAAGAACAAGGATATTTTTTACATGCCCCTCCCACTTGTAATTGTTACATAGGTTTTCCATTCATGTCGTCTGCATGAGGTTAGATTTTAATCGATTACAAGCAATCGACGGCGAAAAAAACTATACCAACCCTCCTCCTGGATTGGAGAATTCTTGTTCTTCGTCGTCACCACCAAAAAACATCGTTTAACATTTAATTTTGAGCAAAATCATATGAAAATTGATAAAATTAAAAATCGGTGGACCTAAATCATGAGATTTGCTAGCTCTAAAGATGCACTTAGACATTGTTTCGAATTATCAAAAATGAGAATTTGGTCTAGTTAGAGAAGTCAAATATAAAATTCAAAATAAACAGTTTTGATTCAGCAAAAATTTCAAGAGTCGGGTTTGTTTTTTGACTGGAAAATCTTGAAAAATAAAATAAAAATATGATACGAAACTATAAACCGCATATTTTTTACACCTTATTAGACTTCTTAAAGTCCTTATTGAAGAGTTCCGTGTTGTTTTTTCATCATTTAAGAAACTGTACCATATTTTATTTAATTGTTCAAATTTTAATTAAATTCAACTTAATAAAGGTAAGAATTGGTTTTATGGGATTGTATTTTTTTTAATATGAAGTTCCTCTATTTTGAAAATCTGAATTTTGTGTGAAGATTTTGACGAATGATCAAAACAAATGGTTTGTTTACATTTATTACAATATTTACACAACTGATTTGGTGCAATGGAATGAAGAGATTTCAGATTTTCTTACAAAAATATTTGATGAAAGAGATCCTGTGTGTTCAGATTGTAGTTACAAGTTTTGACTCTTTATTGTACCAAGTTTTATTATCAAAGCATTACATCATCATAGGAACAAGGGCAAAGGAACCATACATGTAATTTTTATTCTACTGATAGGTGAGATAAGATTTATTAAAGAAAAATAACCAACATCCCTTTACATTATTACTTAAGGCCTACATTACCTACAATTTCTAAAGCGCACAAATACCGAGGTTTCTTAGTGCACTGCGAAAGTTTTAAGTATCATTTGTTCTTGTAATTATAAGTTTAACTGTCAAGCTTATAATGAGATGAACAGGCTTTTTTGGAGCTCTTTCCTAATTCATTCAATAACAGGAATAAATTGAAATTTAAACAAGAAGATATAGACCTAGTTATAACAGTATAACTCCATTTAGTTTGTGAAGAAAGATAAAATGCTAACAGTTTAAACGTAAAGATGCTAGTAGCCTATAACTAACTAGTGTTTATTTTAGTGAAAGGTTGTGTGTTTGTTTGAAGTGATTACCAAACTAGACACTGACTCACATGGTTTAAAATCCAGTTGACCAAACAGTGGTCTGTTGTCGATAAATATTGTAGTCACTATCTTTATAGAATATTGACAGGGAGCTTGTTAAAAATATAACCATAACATTAATTTATACATTTAAGTTCTACTTAGAGAGTTACCAGGTCACTTCAGATTAATGAACATATCTTCAAGGCATGTAAAATAAAGAGTTTATTATTAATATAACCTTCTTTATTAACAAGTCAGACATGCCCGGTAATTACAATCAATTCAATGGTCTAGAGCTCTAATCAGAAATATTTAACTGATGAAGCCAAATTCATAGCCAAACTGAAAGAAATTTAGCTGACATCTCTCTATCAAGTACAACAACACTTAACTTACAGCTAATCAACAACTGACTCTTTTTCACTTGGGAGGAAGTGATCATAAAAAAATAAAAGACATTTATAAAATAATGTTTTGAATCATTCAGTATTTATTTGGTTAGTTTATTTATCAATGAAGCAAACCAGAAAATAGTTGATATTTTTATCTTCTGAAATAATTGTTATTATTTTCTTTCATCAGCTATCTAGTTATCTAACTAAGAGGACTGTTATATAGGATGGTAAGTTTGAGTGCATGAATTTATAAACATTGGTTTGGGCTTTTTGTTGTGTGGTTTGTTGTAGAAAATATCAATGTATTTGTCCTTTGTGTTTTTATTGTTCATCCTTGTTTTATTCAAACCTGTCAAATGCAACAAGGAACTTGTTTAATGAAAATTACAACAGAATATTCTTGGTAAATTAAAATTTGAGAGATATTTACCATTTTCAAATTGTGCACTACCTAGAGCTTATAATATTACTAAAATTGGAACAGAACCTAGACCATATCATATACTTTCTTTGTTTTTATATGAAGGAAAGTAAAGCTAGGTAGTGAGCTACTGGAAAGTAATGAATTGTGTCTCAGGTGTTGCATAACAGAAATATGCTATTGCAGTTTTGACTTGTCATCTAGTAATGTGTGTAGTGCTCTAGATATGTAAGCATGCTATGCCTCCCCACAAAGCAAGCAATAAGCTCTACATAGATTGTTGTCTGACCTAGGCT